CACCTCTCGATCTTCCCCCCCCCCCCCTGCTTCCTCCAGCAAAGCAGCGACCGAAAGAAACACCGCCATCATGCTCGACCAGTACACCTACATCTTCGCCATTGGCACCATGTTTGCCATGCTTGACGCCTTCAACAACGGCGCCAGTAAGTATCCCCGTAGCAACAGATCTAATCCTCAAAGACAGCGATGATGACTGACTGGGATAGACGACGTGGCAAACTCGTGGGCGACCAGTGTCTCCTCGCGCTCCATCACCTACCGCCAGGCGATGATCTTCGGCACCATCTTCGAGCTGCTCGGAGCCATCACCGTCGGCGCCCGCACGGCAGAGACCATCAAGAACGGCATCATCCCCAACTCCGCCTTCCAGGGCAACGCCGGCGTCCAGATGCTCGCCTTCACCATCGCCCTCGTCGGCGCCTCCTCCTGGGTCATGTGGTGTACTCGCAACTCCGCCCACGTCTCCTCGACCTACTCGCTCATCTCCTCCGTTGCCGGTGTTGGCGTGGCCACCGTTGGCGCATCCAAGGTCCAGTGGGGATGGAACAACGGCAAGGGACTCGGTGCCATCTTCGCCGGCCTGGGAATGGCGCCCGCCATCTCGGCTGGCTTCGCTGCCTCCATCTTCATGCTCATCAAGCTGGTCGTCCACATGCGCAAGGACCCCGTGCCCTGGGCCGTCTACACCTCGCCCTTCTTCTTCCTGATTGCCGGAACCATCTGTACCCTCTCCATCGTGTACAAGGGATCCCCCAATCTCGGCCTCGGCAAGAAGCCCGCCTGGTACATTGCTGCCGTCACCATGGGAACCGCCGGCGGCGTCTGCCTGCTCGCTGCTCTCTTCTTCGTCCCCTATGTCCACGCCAAGGTCATCAAGAAGGACGCCTCCGTCCGGTGGTATCATGCCTTCATGGGCCCCCTCCTCTTCAAGCGTGCTCCCGTCGCCCCCGCTGACCGTGCCGCCGTCCCCAACTATGCCGTCGTCCAGCACGACCCCGAGCTCGATGAGACCCCCGCCGGCGGCGATGCCATGGCCAAGGCTGAGAACGGCACCAGCACCCCCGACGACAAGGAACAGAAGCTCGCCTCCATCGACGCTCCTCCGCTCACCCAGAAGGAACTCAACGCCCAGGGCGACGCCCGTCTCAACGCCAAGCTCCGCAAGAAGCGTGGTCCTCTCGGCTGGGCTCTTCGCACTCTGCACGACAACCCCATGGGCCCCGGCCAGATCTATGAGATCCACAACATAAAAATCATCCTCAAGCGCATCCCAGCCACCATCGTCGCTGGTCTCCTGTACGGTATGCACTACGACATCCACGCCGCCCAGACTGGTATCGCCGGGACCCCTGAGGGCTCCCGCATGGCTCGTGTCTATGACGCTGCCGAGAAGTACCCCAACGAAGTCGAGCACACCTACTCCTTCGTCCAGGTCCTGACTGCCTGTACCGCCTCTTTCGCCCACGGAGCCAACGATATCGGAAACTCTGTCGGCCCCTGGGCTGTCATCTACGGTGCCTGGTCCACCGGTGATGCCGCCAAGGCCAAGGCCCCCGTCCCCGTCTGGCAGCTCGCTGTTCTCGCCCTCACCATCTCCCTCGGTCTCATCACCTACGGCTACAACATCATGAAGGTCATGGGCAACAAGCTCACCTACCACTCCCCATCCCGTGGCTCCTCCATGGAAATGGGTGCCGCTATCTGTGTCCTCGTCTTCTCCCAGTACTCCCTGCCCGTCTCCACTAGTATGTGCATCACCGGTGCCACCGTCGGCGTCGGTCTCTGCAACGGCACCTTCAGAGCCGTCAACTGGCAGCGAGTAGGCCTCTTGCTGCTTGCCTGGGTCATGACCATCCCCATTGCTGGAACCATCGGTGGTGTCCTCATGGGTCTCTTCCTTAACGCCCCTCACTTCTAAACGCCCTCTACCTCCTTTTCTCTCCCTCTCTTTATTTCCCTTGTATTTTCATTTGCATCTTTTTCTTCATCTTTTCTCAACTGGCTTGATGACTTGACTCGTTGCGCGCCCGACCCATCCGGACATCTCATCTGAAATTTTTCCCAACCGCTTTTCCTTTCTCATCTTGTAATAAAAACGCCCTGAACGCAACCCGTCATAAGATACCACCTCTACCTAACCTACCATTATCTAATAAAAAATCAAACGATTCTTCTCTGATCAGTCTTAAGTCTTTTTCTCTATACTTCGTCAGTATCATGCATGTCTTCAGTGTAACAAGCTTCGTACTCGCCTATTTCACCCATAAAGCCAAGCCACCCAACACCGCAAATCACACTGCATCAAGATATCAGACACAAACATCGAAGTACCCGTTTTTGCAACCTCCGCATCTCGGGTAAGATAGTGGAGCGCAGAATGCAAAGTAAACAGTCCCCTGCCAGCTCATAACGCATCTTGCATGCATAAGTTTCGGCTTCGTCTCCATGCTGCATTCCCACTCTTTTCCCGCCCCTCTTACCCGCCATGCCTGTCCCTGCGCCCTACTTAAGTTGCCAAAAAAAAAAAAAAGTCAACTTAAACTTTTATTCCCTTTCTCTTGTCATTCTCGCTTTCCTGCAAAACAGGGTATATGTGCACGCGACGACCACTGGTCTGCCATGGACGTATTTTGGTACGCACCGGTTCGTTCGTGTCCATTTCGGTAGTTCGGTTGGGACATGGTGGTTGGCGCGGTAAGCGAGAAATCACTTCCCCCCCTGCCCCTGGCTCGCTTTTGTCTAAACTAGGCGTTGGTATGATGTGTCCTCGTTTCGGTTTGGTTGCCCTTACGCTAAGGGGGTGTGTGTATCTGCGTTCGTGAGGTTGAAGGAGATTGTATCTGGGGATTGATGATGTCCGCCTCCGTCAAGGCGGAGAGAGTGATGTCGAAATAAACTTGGGCTTGTCACGTTGATCTTCCGTTAAAGCGGGGCAAGATGAAAAGTTATTAGTTATATGCTTAGTCATCGTGCGGAAGTATTGTTACTTTTCTATCTCTATGTAGGACAAAGCATGAGGGCGAATATATATTTGATAAATGTACTCGTTAAGAAATACAAGAGATGTCTGTATTCCTGGGAAAATATGAAGATGCATGTATTACACTGACAGGCTAAGCCCTACTCCCTTTTAGCCTATGTTATATTCTGGTGTACTTTGGGCGAAGTTCACCTACGTGACCTATCGATATCTCTGTGTTAGTATGGGCATGCCACAATCCCCCAGTGTAATTA